TCGGGGGCTGAGCTCTCGCCTACAGCAGCCTACGGTTGCTGATCTTCCTTGTCTTGACTGAGTATCGGTCGACAGCATCCGTTTTACGTAATACCCTGTGGGTGAGGGCATGATAGTTGCGATTTGGTGCATTTTGGGTGATAAGGCGTGATTATATACTGCTGGGCGAGGTTCAGCAAACCTGCGTGCAAAAATTCTGGTACTGCGGCTGTAGTTCAGTCTTTCAGCTTCGATGGGGTTAAGACAAAAATAAATAGGAGCTTAGTTACAGAGCTGACGTTCTGAGTTCAGAAGTATAGCTGAAAATTTGTATGTCTTGTCCCTTTGTAATTTTTTAAAAAATATGAACCCATTTTGCCTTATCATTCAGTAATGAATCATGAAGTTGCATTAGAATCCTTTAATATATATGTTAAAGAAGCTGTGTTTTAGTCAATTCTTCATAAAGTTTGAAGCCAATTACTTTTCCTTCTGTTTTCCTTTATATACTTCAAGATAAATATAGTAAAACTGTTTGGAGACAATTTTGATGTGAAAGGATATCAGCTCAATTAATACTTGATCTGAAAATGTTGCTTGATTTTTCTTTTTTAAATTCTCTTCCTTTTCAGCTCAGTGATGAAAATGAACAGTTAGTCAAGAAGTTGAAAAAACTACACATAAAAAATAAGGATCTGGAAAAGAATCTGGGTGAGATCCAAGACAAACTGCATCTGCAGCAGTTAATGCATGACTATGTCACAAGCAGAGAGTAAGAATTGTCAAACATTACTTATTGCAGCGAAAGAAGTGCAATGCTTCAGGACTTGTACCATGTTATTCTTTAGATAAACTAGGCCTTGTCTGTTCTGCATATTTTGAGGGACTGTATGAACAGGGTGGTGGGATGCCGAATGCCAGAGTTGTGTGAAGGAAGAAAAGGAAAGTTGGGACAACTTGGACAAAATTCATTGTTGAAGAAAATCAAGCATTTTTAATATCAATAAGTAGTACCCCTGCTTAGCCAACATGCTGTCCCTGTCTGACTGCAAAGAGTTTTAGGCTGTTTTGCCCACAAATAGTAGGAAGATGGTTAAATTGCATCAGTACTGTTTCAAAGGTTTGGAAACTGGGACCTTCAGACCTGAAAAACTATAGCACTAGTGCTTCAAAGAGTGTCCTGCCAGGATTTAAATACCTGTTTGCAAAAAAATTCAGGTTTAAATTTGGTGCGTTTATGATCCTGCATGGAAACATCTGTTGTCAAATCAAACTGAAAAGTAATTTAGCCTTTTTTGGTTGCTTTGTTGGATCCAATTAAAATTGTAAAATCTAATTTTATTAAGCTGTTGTGTTTGTTTCAATTAAGTGTTCAAGTTCAAACAGAAACCCATGTATGGCATAAGGGTGGATACAGCAAGGATCTTAATCTAGAGGGTGACAGTGTCAGGTGAGTTCTTGGAAACTGGTTCTTCACAGAATTAAACATTTTTCTCTGTGGGATGAAATTTGTTGTTCATGGTTAAATCAGCTGGATTTTTGCTTGCTGTTACAGAAGCTGCTTTCAGCCTCTGAAACAAGGGAAAATAAGTTTATTTACTTTTTAAAAGGAAATACAAAATCTTAGATTAATCTTGAAAATATCACCAAACAAAGAACAAAATGGATTTCTTTCTCAAATCTTTCACTGAGGAAGACTTGAATGAGCTAAGGAAGCTCCATGATGCGTGTGTGCACACACGTGATCTTTTTTGTAGATTTTTAACCTAGAATTATTATTTTGTAGGAGCCTTCTTAGCTCATTTTTATAGCTCAATTTTATATGTTATATAAAATTTATAGGCCATGACTGCTTTCAAAATAAGCCACACAAGTGATTCTAACTGAATTTAGAAGTGAGTTACGACTTACTCTAATTAAGTACCTAATTAGATGCTTGTACTGAAGAAGTCTGAGTTATTCTTTGAATGTAGTGCTGGACCTGCTTTGTATTAGGTTGCACGTAAATAACCTGACTTAGCTTTTTTCCCAGTATCTATTTGTGTGTTATTTTACAAAGCTGTTCTCTACTAGCATCGCTCATCCTGCTTGCAGTGTGTAGTCATGACTTAGTATGAATGCTGGCTCTTATTAGAATTCTTAATAAAATAGGAAAAATGTCTGTTCATATTCATCAGTTACGTTATGGGCCTGATATACGTAGACTGAACGCTATGAAATACTGTCGGAAATTAGTGTAGCAGAACTTGGTGCAAGGTATTATCAAAGGGAAAGATAATATCCTAAATCTGCTTATTTTACATTGATTTTACCCACTCATACTCACTTTCTTATAGATTTCATTCACTCATATCCACACACCCGCATACTTGGAAGTAATGACGTGCGTGCGTCCAAGTGGTCTGGCCAGGGTTGCTTGTGTGCAACATGGAGAGCTGTGGACGCCGCCTCATGAGTCCTCATCGTGGGTTCTTGATTGGTGGCCAGAAGTTAGTTTCTGGACAAGCTTTTTTATATCCATTAGGAGTGGTCTTTTGCTATTCCTGTTGTGCTAATGGGGAGAGGGGTGATACATGTGACATGTGTGACATGCTGCAAACTCACTGCCACCCTCCTGTGGCTAGTGTATAGGTCTTCCATCAATGCACTATTTGTACTGAGATTTAATCAGGGTTCAGCCATGTGGGCTGGATAAAAACAACGGGGTCCTCAGTCTGGCTGAGTGAAAGGGATTCTTTGCCATCGATACAGACCATTCTTTTAACCCTCGCTTTGCTGTTTTTTTCTGGTGCTTTCTGTGTTGCTGGTCATACTTCATTCACGCCTATCTTAAATATCTCTGTTACAAGTCTCTACAGTACAGCTACAGTCCAAGTGATCTCTATGGAGCATCTGTAATACTTTTGTCATAAAGGATGCACATTTTGTTGGCTTTCATATTTTACTGCAATTTATGCATTTCTTCTGTTTTAGACTACTTCAGATGTATAGTGATCTACAGAAACGTTACGTTAAAGAAATCAAAACAAACCAGGAGCAAAGTGAAGCAATTAAAAATCTCACTGTAAGTAGAATTTGAAGGAGATGGTATCAAATAGCCAAACATGAGCTTTTTAGTGAGACTGAAAAGTAATTCTTACACTTGTAAAATGAGACTATGTTTTTGTTTTTGTACTTATTTTTGTTTCCCATGCCACTGAGATAATGGAAAGTAGTCTGTAGTTCCCTTTGAAAGTGAACTCTGTCACTGGAATGTCTGTAACTGAAAGTTGTCTCCCCTTTCCTTGCTTTTTTCTTTACTGACCTACCTACCCCTCCTTCCAACTGTACATGCATCTCCCAACCTCTCTTGCACCAGCCCTGATGTTTTTCTGTATGTGTCATGAGCTGACTTAATTCAGAAATCAGCAGTCAGCTAGCCAAACAAAGGCAGATAGTCTTCCATCAGGTAGCGAGATCTGTTGGCTTGCTCTGCAAAGAGACTAGCATCATAACTGGAGCAAAGGTAGGGTTGCATGGCCAGGCGTGGTTCACAGAATCATAGAATACCAGGTTGGAAGGCACCTCAAGGATCACCTGGTCCAACCTTTCTAGGCAAGAGCACAGTCTGAATAAGATGGCCCAGCACCCTGTCCAGCTGTGTCTTGAAAGTGTCCAGTGAGGCGGAGTCAACCACTCCCCTGGGGAGATCGTTTCAATGGGTGACTGTTCTCATTGTGAAAAATTTCCCTCTCATGTTCAATAGGAATCTTCTCAGGATCAACCTGTACCCATTACCCCTTGTCTTTTCCATGTGACTCCTTGTGAAAAGGGAGTCTCCCATCTTCTTTGTAGCCACCCTTTAAATACTGGTACACTGTGATGAGATCACCTCTGAGCCTCCTTTTTTTCAAGGCTGAGCAAACCCAGTTCTCTCAGCCTGTCCTCATTAAAGAAGCTTCAAGTGGGTATGGTCTCTTTAGGCATTGATCAAGCATTACAGCTGACCGATCTAATTCATTTCCTCCTAGGACTCTGGAACATGTGCTTCATTTGTATGTAAATTAATATTCATTATGATTTGGATTATATGTACTTTTTCTTAGAAGTTGGCAATGTACATTAATACTGTCCTGCAAGCATGTGCTCAGTAACAGATTTTTTTCAAACCACTTTTGGTGTATGCAAAACTTCGTTTGCTGTATTTTTTTTTTCTCCTTTCAGACACTGTGGATGAATGCAGTTTTATGTCGTAATTGAAAGCTCTCAGTTTGCATTCAGGAATATTTCCATTTGTATTCAGTTGAACTGTGTTTTGTTCTATGCATTTTAAAAAAATTTTAGTTTCTTGACAGATTAAAATTCATGAGCTAGAGCATAATCTTCAAGAGCAGAGGCAAAGAATTGAGCAACTGGAACGTAAAAAGGTTTCTTGGAAAACTAGTGGTATTTCTGGAAAAAGAAGTCGAACCCCAGGGGGAGAAGTAACATCTCGCAGGGACATTTCTAAAGAGAAGGAATCCTGTTGCAGTAAATATTTAGGTAATGGTATGGCTAATTCTGATGATGTTCCTTCCAGTCTGCCCATCAGAGAGGAAGCATTTGATTTCTGATCCAGAGGCACACTCCAGCTTATTTCTTCTACTTCAATCAGCAGTATCTAAGATGTTTTCCATTTTTGAAAACCTGTTATGTAAAAATGGCATCCCATAGTCCATGTCCTATCTATGGATCCAGCCCTGCATTTGTTTGTGATAAAAATAAGTGTTTGCTGCTTTTCTCTTTTTCTGAAATTGCTATGTGGGTGTAATCCTGGGTTGGGAGTGCATGCCTGTATTTAGTACTATTTATTATTTATTCCAGTAAGCTGTATCTATGCAGATCTCTTAGTGATAATGTTTGCTGCTTCATTCTTTGGTTTTCAGACACTGGTACCAAAAGAATCTGGTTTTAGCCTTAAAATATGGGGTAAACCCAGACAATACTGGTTTGAGCATGTTCTTCCTCACATAAGTAAATCCACAGTTAAGGTGCAATCCTGTTCCCCTTCAAAGCATAAAAAAGAGATTGAAGAGATCATATAATGTAGGCATAATTTTCAGGAAATGTGCTGTCAGCAAGGGCTAGCGTGACCCTCTTGTAAATCAGAAAAAGGTAATCGAGGCATGTGATGTATGTTTTGTGGATTTTAAAGTAAAATAATCCCACATTCTAAGAATCTGCCAGATTCAGATTATCCAATTGACACATCCTGTTATCTTTCATAGTACCTGGGAGTGTGCTGGGCTGATTCTTAAGAATAAATCACTTTATGGAAAAGGTACTTTAAAAAGCTGAACCATAATTTTCTAGTATCACAAAACGTAGGCAGCTCTTTAACTGTAATATGATTCATATGAGGAGGAGGTTGACTGTAATGGTTGAAGTCAATTTTTTTTTTTTTTTAATTTGAATATAGAGCTATTGTTGAAGGAGATTAAAAAGCTGAAGAAAGAAAATGAAAAGCTGTCTACAGAAAGGAGAGCACTAAAAAATGAATTAGCTGGATTAGACGAGGTAATTTATTTAAGGAAAAGTTTAAGAATAGGTGATTTTTGAAAAACTAACTTTTCTGCCTGAACCGAAACTTGTCTTTAGGCTGAACATCATGCTGTTATCAAGCAAAATACATGAAAAAAAATCAATTTATAGCATTTTGAGAAAGAAATGGAAATGAATGACTCCTTGAAACATTAATGTCCTACAGTACTGCTTGGCCAAGGAAGAGGAATAATGCAAATTTTTTTTACAGCTGCGGATTTGCTTGTGGATTTTTTTTTTTTTAATATTTGGGCAATTTAGTTTCTTTCATGAGAGATTGTTTGGCTCAGGTTGTTATGACATTAAAAATTGTAACTGCTGGTAACAGTCTTAATTCCTTTGAACAGACATTTGCAGAGATAATAAACATTTTTTTTTGAATGATCACTTCTATTACCTCATGATGTCAGTGAGAGGAAAACTACGTTCTTTTGAACTTAAACATATCAAAGTTATGGCTCTGACAGAACTCTAAGCTTAGGGGGGGCACTGGGGAGGGCTTTGAAGTTTTCATGATACATTGGTAGGTGTAGAAAGTAAAAGCGTGAAAATTTGGAAATTCTTGAAATTATGTGAGCAGATGAAGAGATCTTACCTAGCTATAGAGGACTCAGTTTAATGTACTGACCTAAGATTTTTATTTTCAGCAACAAACTTGTTTAAACTTGTTTGGTTTTGTTTGTTTTTCAAATCTTGTGTTGGAGGGTTTTTTTGAGAATCTGTTTTCTTACCTTGCCATTCTTTCTCACAAGCTAAATAATATTACACTAGCTTTCGTTACAGGGGCAACAGTGAAACATAGGGATAGTTCATTAGTTGTGAAACTTGTAGAACATTGAGCCAGTGTGAGTTATAGATCCCCATGTTTGGGAACTAGGGACAACTTGTGGCTAAAAGTTTCACCTTATAGAAGAGAAATATATAAATCTGAGGTTATGGCTTTTTGTCGGTGACCCTTTTTTAGGTAGTTTTAAGTCACTGTATGTTATTTAAGATGTATGTAGCTGTTCATTAAAAAAAGTCAGAAGAATAGGCAGGAGAAGATGTCAAATGTAGATGGATATAAGTAGATACAGTGTTCCTCTGGTAGATAGGACTTCCCAAGGTTGATGAAATTAAGTCTTGGGCGGTTACACTCTGCTTGCTGTCCTTGTATTCCCCAGCAACTTCTGACTTCACTTACAAAGGATCAGAATTGCTCAATAGATTGAGGTGCAGGAGCTGAACAAAGCATAGTTCCATTTGAGCTGTGGGCCATCGATATTTTTGATGAATGAAGTTTATTTCTACAAAGCTGAATTTATCTCCTAGTTGAATTAGGTATAGCTAGAACTACTTGCTAGGTTATGCAGTCTAGGATTGTATAATTACAAAAGGATCAATATGAGAGAGTGAAACCACATAGGCTGACATTAAGTAAGTTCAACAGGACTTGCTTTTTATGGCTTTCTTATTGGACTGCCTCTTTACGTTCTGTGTAGCCTTACATGGTGCTCTTTTTCATTCCCTCCTTTCTTGTAAATTGCTTTTATCTGAGCCAGTTGAACCTGTTGGGCAGTGGGGTACATTTTAGGCTCTGTCAACTTTAATGCATCATAAATCTTACCCTTTTGAATATGAAAATTAAACTTTTTAACATAGTGTAGTCATAAATAATAGATCCTATTCTGAAGTAGGACATTTGTTAACAAAATGTAGTTGTACTTAAAGTTCTAAATGGATACTAGCAATTTACAAAGCAGTTAAGGTCTAAAAATTTTGTCTTTCTACGTCTGAATCTGGTATCCATTTTTCCATCTTTAACTCTTTGGTATTGACTTCTTCAAATGCTAGCATCATCGTCCTCAGTTTACTTTCCTCGTCTCTCTCCTTGCTTGTTGTCCCTTTTTTTATAATCTTGCAACTTTCAGATCTTCAGAGTTAATGGGGTGTTACCTGCTACTGGCTGACTTCAGCACTTACAGCTGTCTTTTTGCGCAGATGAGTTTGACATTATTCCCTTGTCATTTTGTACTGTTGTTTTATAGCATTCTGATAAATCAACATGTTTTTCCTTCTTTTAATTCATCTTTCCTATTATTAGTCTGTATTTCAGGCTCTAGTATAACTTGAATTCTGCTTGCATTGTGTGTTCAGGGCAAAGTTTTAAGTTATGTAAGGTTATAGCTGACTGATGCATCTTGCTGTAGCTGTGTTTGCATAACTCAACCATATATTAATGAAAATATAGAAAGTGTCTTTGAACTTGGGAACAACTGAAATGCTGATTAGCTCTTGTTGAGAATGTGTTTGAAAGAAACTTTAAGGTGAATATTTTTGGGTTTTTCTAGGATTTCTTTGAAGAGGTAGAAGATCTAAAGCATGCTGTACAGGAATCTGTGAAACTGAATAATCAGTATGAAAAGTGCTTGAAACAAATAAGTGTAATGTATGGGCTTCCTTTTACAACACATTTGTAGCTACTGATTGATTTAATGGCAAGTAGATTTTCCACATGTTTTTATACTACCACAACATTTAAACTTACTGTGGCTTATGTAGTACCACATTTGGATAATATTACGGATTCAATAATATGATCTCAATATGACAAGCTGCTCTGAAATGTTTTTGTTTTGTGCCTTTGATTTTTGTTTTTGCGTTTTTTAAATAAACTGTGGTCTGTATAACTTCAACTAAGCTTCAAAACCTCTTTCACGCTCGTAGAATACATTCATTGCAGGAGCGGTTGTGAGTATTTATGGGAATGTGATAAAATCTTTGTATTTTGATTTGAAGAATTTCCCAATTTATCCTTTCCTGTAAACTATATAAAATCAAAGTAGCTCTGTAGATTTGGCAGTCTTTATGAATTTCAGCCCTAAGGATGTGCCATTGCAGACAGAAATTAATTCTGTCATTAAATTATTACAAAGGCATTTCTTAAAAGAAAAACGCTAAAACTCTACTTTGAGGTTTTTCTTTAATCACAACAATAAATTAAAATTTGTGGATGAAGAAAGGATGAAGGGTTTAGCACTGGAAAGAGTAAAGAAAGGTGGGTCAGAGAGTTGTCTTGCAGTGTCAAAACAAGAATTCATCAGAAGCTCTTATTTGGTTGAAGAGTGAGGTATTTGAAGAGCTCTCGTATTTGAAGTGCTGAAAGGAAACTGGAGTGCGGGGAGTCGCAGTTCACAAGGTAGAAATGTTGCCTTGCTTCAGAGAGAGGGAGCTGGGAATGATAAGAGGCAGCTCCCGGTTGGATGTGTGCCTTGCAGAAGGGAAACCTTGCGAGCTTTGGACCTGAACTTGTTTGTAACTACATTTCACAAAAGTTTAACATGGTTACATTATAGAGCTATATTTGTCTGGAAGTTGTAAATCTGTACCTTTGTGACATGGTGATGGGAGAACTGAGTGAAAACTTCATGACGAGGTTAGAAATACTAAGCTTACTTACAACCCAATACAACTTCTTTAGCTTAATAAAAATATTTGCGTGCTCATAAGGGATAGGACTTGGAGTAGGATTAGGACTCTTGTATCCCACTTCGTTTGTTAGGATGGCTTTATGTAGTTGTAAATTAATAAATAAATTGGCCTTAAAGCATATGAGGTGTTTGGAGTTACATAGTCATTAAGAGAGAGGGCAAAGCCCCAGAACTACTTGCTTCCTGGTCTGGCTACAGACCGTTGCATCAGGTTTCCCTTGTTTTATTCTTGGCTCACTTGTAAATGAAATCTGAGTCACATTCTGAAGAGAAATGCAAAAGGGAAA